TTGGAACACTTTCATTGGGTGCATAGATATTTATTTTGGTAATGTCTTCTTTGTCAATTGACCCTTTCGGCATCATATAGTGACCTTCTTTGTCTCTTATGCTGTTTTTCACCATATAGTCTATTTTATCAGAAATTAATGTTGCCACTCTTGCTCTTTTTGGTTACCATTGGCTTGGTATATATTTTTTTCCATCCCTTATCTCTTAATTTGTTTTTATCTTTTTGCCTTAAGTGGGTCTCTTGTAGGCAGCATATTGATGGGTCTTCTTTTCTTATCCAATCTGCCACTCTCTTTCTCTTGACTGGTGCATTTAGGACATTCACATTGAGTGTAATTAGTGATAGGCATGAATTGATTGCTATCATTCTGTTGTCGTTTTTTGTCGTGTTGTTGGAGTTTCCTTGGTCCATATACTCTTTTGTGCTGAGTTCATTTTGTTAAGTGTTTCCTCTCTTTTCTTCTTTATTGTTGGTTTTGTGCTTACTAGACCCATATGTTTTCCTTCTTTCTGGGGTTGCTTAGTGGGATTGTTCATTTTCTCCGTGGTTACCTTAGAGTGAATTCTTGTCTCTATATTTTTGGAACAGTCTGTTCTGTAAGGACATTGTCCTGTTTTCCTCTCCATTTGGAAGTTTTGTATGTAGGCCTTTTATTCCATCTGTTTGGTTAGTTGCTGTTGTCTTGTGCAGGTTGACATCCTTGTTTTTTAGTGTACAATGTTTTCTGGTCTTATTTTGAGCATCTATTTCTGATTTGGTTTTAGTGTTGATGTCATGTGTCCTTATTTTGTTGTTGTCTATTGTGGGTTCTCTATTGGAAGGACTTCCTTAAGCATTTCTTGTAGGGTTGATCTGGTTTTCACAAAACTCCTTAATTTCTGTTTGTCTGAGAATGTCTTGATTTCACCCACATATTTGATGGACAGTTTGGCTGGATATAGGATTCTTGGTTGGAAGTTCTTTTCCTTCAGTTTTTTATATATGCTATCCCATTGCCTTCGTGCCTGTAATGGTTTCTGCTGAGTAATCAGAACTCAGCCTAACTGTTTATTATAAGTAATATTTCTTTTTTCCTGGGCATCTCACAAGATTCTTTCTTTGTCTTTGGTTTTGGAGAGTTTGATTATGATATGCCATGGTGTTTTTCTCTTGGGATCTATCCTGTATGGGGTTCTTTGAGTTTCTTGGACAAATATGCTTTCTTCCTTCATGATATGAGGGAAATTTTCTGTTAGTAAGTCTTCCACAATTTTCTCAGTGTTTTTTTCCTCCTCTTCTTGTTCTGGAATTCCAATGAGGCATATGTTGTTTCTTTTCATGTTGTCCCATATAACTCTTAGGTTCTCTTAATTTCTCTTAAATCTTTCTGATTTTTCTTCATACAGGCTGGTGTCAGGGGATTTATCTTCTGGTTGGGAAGTGCCTTCTTCAGCCAGTTCTAGCCTATTCTTTTGTGCTTCCACTGTGTTGTGTAATTCTGTAATTTTCTTAATCATCTTCTGGATTTGTAACTGCTGTTTTTGTATGAGTTCTGATTGTGTATGAATCTTGTTATTTTTTTTGTTGAATGGTTTTCCTGCATTCTTCCAGGGTACTGTCTGTGTTCTCCTTGGTTCTGTTTGGGGTTTCCTTAAGCTCTTGTAGAGTTCTATAAACATACCTTCTAAATTCCTTCTTGGGTAATTCTATTACCTCCTCTTCCTCCATGTCTAATGAGACTTTTGTTTGGGATTTTATTTCTATTGTCTTGTCCTGTTGTTTTTGTTTGATTTGCAGTTGCCTGTTGTTTCCTAGACATTTTGAAGTTGTCTTTAATTGTTAGTTATGTATTGAATAATTTGTTTTGTCTTGATTTTATGATTTAATATTTTTGCAAAGTGGAGCTGATGTATTTTATTTTTTTAGTTAATTCAGGTGTGCTGGGTTGCTCTGCAGTTTTCTTTGTGATGATGGAATCACTGTGTGGAATGTGGATGCAGGTCTCTGCTTGTCATGAAGGTGGTTTAGGATTAGAACAGGCAGGTGTTGTGGTGGCTTAATGTGGTTTTTCTATTGGATGAGGTAGGCAAGAGGTGGAGAAAAGAAGAAGAAAAGAGAAAAAAACCTCCAAGCTGCCAGTAGCTATTTCCAGGGCTTTGAGTAGGCTGCTAATGATGGCATTATAATGTTACTTACAGGCCCTCAGCTCACGTTCGGCAAAGACCCCAATTTTAGGGGGCCGCCACTTTCCGCTAGATTCAGACAGCCACAAAAACCCCATACTCCAGGCTCCTTCAGGCCAAAAAGCTGTCCTGGAATAGCTACCCTGATTTGCTCTTCAAGTTCATCCAAGGGCCCACCCACTTGTGGTGTGCTTCCCTCTCTGCTCCAATTCAGTGGCATCCAGAGCCAGAGGGGTCTCTCCTCCATCCCAGTGGTCTCAAGTTTACTGATAAAATCGGGTGCTGAAGGTAGATCCATGGAGTGGCCACAGGTCCTCTGGTGCGTTCTCTCCTCTGCCCCAGGGAGCCCTCCAATGCCCTGTCTCACTGTCCAGTCAGTGCTCCGCAGTGCAGGTTTGCCTGTTTTTATTCTTTCCAGCTGATTACACTGCCTCTCCCTCCTTTCTAATCCTACTCCCCTGAGTTTCATGTTCTCTGACTTAATGAGCTGTTCAAAGTGCCTGAACCCCCACTTTAAACTGCTGCACCTAGTTTTGGCACTAAGATGCTAGAGGAAACTAACATGTGGGCTACAGGTAAGACACCATCTTCCCAGCTCATCTCACTATTATTATTTTTAAAACTTTTTATTGTGATTTAGGTGAAAGTTTGGAGAGCATATCAGTTTTCCATTCAGCAATTCATATACACCTAGCTTTCTTCTTTAAGCATGGTTTTCTGTAGACCTTTTAACATATTTGTAATAGTTACTTGAAGTCTTTATCTTTTACGTCTGACATCTGAGCCCCACTCAAATGCAGTATCTGTTGCCTGTTTTTTTTTTTTTTCCTCATACATGGGCCACACTTTTCTGTTTCTTTATATGCCTCATAATTTTTGTTAAAAAATGAACTGAACATTTTAGATAATATATCGTAGGAACTCTGGATACTGTCCCCTACCTTTGTGGCTGATTGTTGTTTCTGTTTATTTGTTTAGTGACTTAGTTGGACTATTTCAGGGAAGTCTATTTTCCCTGCAGTGTGCAGCAATTCCTCAGAGGGAGGGCACAGCTCTCTGCATGTGCACCATCCTTCTAGGACAACAGTGGTTTTAGCAGGGCTGTCTTTGATTGTCTCTTTTTCTCATGTCTCTGTTAAGCTATCTCCCTCTGTTGTTATACACCTAGTTCTTAGCCTTCATTAGTTGGTACCTGATTGCTCTATTGTTTTTGGCAGTTTTCTGGGGCATAAATTATTCCATAGTCGCATCCAATTAAATTTGGCCTCTTTTTCAGGAGTAATCTTTGAGGGTTTTTCTGACCCTAGGTGTGGTCATCTTAGCTCTCTCTTTCCCTGATTCAGTCTGATAAACTTCTGCCTGGTCTAATCCAACTCATAGCAACCTCTGCTTGGGTTTCTGAGGTGGTGTCTCTATGGAAGTAGATTGTCCAGTCTTCCTTCTGAGAAGTGTCTGGTGAGTTTGAGCCACTAGCCTTCTGGTTAGCAATCAAATGCCTTAGGCACTGCACCACCAGAGCTCCTGGTCTAAGGTTAAGCTTGTTGCTTTTCTGGAGCTACCAGGTTCCTCTGAGTTGCTTGCCATCAAAATTCACCTCCCCCCATTTTCTTAATAGCATTCTTCTTGATTCCTTCCCATGCCCACCATTTCCTTTGGTCCTTCTTTCCCATCCCCTCCCACCTTCCTAGCTGTATCCCTGGACAAGTGATGTCCTCTTGATCTTGTGTGCTTGATTGTTGTAATGACTACATATACTCCTGATATTACTGTTTACCTTATAAATCTGTCTTGTCATTTGGCTGCCAGTTGAGTCACAGTAGTTAAGCTCAGTTCTTAGTTTGAAGGATGTCTAAGAGCCACAGTCTCAGGGGTTCCACAAGTCTTCATCAGACCAGTAAGCCTGGTCTTTTTTTTTGTTTTGTTTTTTATGATTTTGAGCTTTGTTCCACATCTTCCCCCACTTTACCTGGGACTTCTTATCAGATCCCTTTCAGAGCAGTCAGCAGTGGTAGCTGAGACCATCTAGTTCTTCTGGTCTTAGAGTTGTGGAGCCTGGGGTTCACATGCTCCATTAGTCCTTTGGACTAGTTGTTTCATGCACCTCTTATTTTCTTCACACTTCTTTGCTCCAAAGAGGGATAAACCATTAGTTGCACCTTAGATGGCCACTCACGAGCTTTTAAGACCCCAGTCACTATTCACCAAAGTAGAATGTAAAACATCTTTGTGAACTATGTTATGCCATTGTTTTTTGAGAGTGCCCTTAGGCTTAAACTTCCCCACATTCTGTCCAAAATAAATCATTTCTTAATAGTATATCAGTAAATTCCCGTATATCTAAGCCTTCAAGACTATTAAAGATACTATTTTATTGGGTTGCTTTCTCATAATTTACTTGCACATTCACCCCCTTACCTTTAAATATTTAGATTTCTTCTAAATGTTCTATTATTGTGATGATTTTAATGAAAATCTTCAACATAGATGTATTTTTCCTTCCTTTGCATTATTTACACAGGATACATTCATAAGAGTGGAATTTCTGTATCAACCTCCCATGTAATTGATATTTTTTTATGACTTTTGTTTTGTATCACCAGATTTCTTCCTAGAAGGATTGTACCAATTTATATTGCTGCTAACAACGTATAAGTGTACTAGCTTCACTATAATCTCTTTATCTTGGTAGTTACACATAACATGTGGTTTATAATTCTGCAGAGATAAATCTAAGAGTATTTAGTGTTTCCTGTACGATGTTACTTTATCAAAGGAACAGAGATAACTTTTGATTTATGTTCCTTCTCCTCTTCTTCTTCCAAGTCACCTGGAACCTCTATGACTCCAAGTGGTGGGTCCTTTCCTACCATATATGTTCAACAGACATCTGTAGATAATCGTCAAGGTCAGTGGCAACGCAGAAGAAGGCTGGATGGAGCACTGAACAGAGTCCCAGTTGGGTTTTATCAAAAAGTATGGAAAGTTTTGCAGAAGGTGAGCATAATACATTATGTATGATTCTTTATTTCTTCCCTTGAAATCCTCAGTCTGCTTGGCTATGACATGACATGACAGCAATTATGTAAAAGACATATACTCATATGGACAAAACATAAAACAGTGAATTTATGGTAGAGTTATTGATAATTTGGTTTCTCTCTATTACTATTGCTATAGTGTTATTTATAAATTAGATTTTTAAAAATCATAATTTCTCTCATGTTGGACATAGTTGGGCTGACATACTCTACTTTGAAGCTTTGTGCTATATTTGGTACTGATGAAACAAATTTGGTACTAAAGAGCTCCTTTCTTTGCAATTATTTTAGAATGGAAATGCTAATTGTAGCAATGTACTGTTCATAACCAAATATCATTGTGCTAAAACAACTGTAGTATCTGGAGAGTTTTTGTAAGGAATTCTTACCTAAATATTTCCTTGAATGAAAACTGCTAAATAAATACAAAGTAATAATAATGCTAATAGTCCAAAGATTGTGTGACCCATTTTTGTGGGTTTTTTTTTTTTCAAAAGTTTATCTTGCCAAAGATATTTAAGGGCACTTAAATGCATCATTATGGTAATGACAGATTTGCAGTACTGAAAAGACCATAGTGCTCATTCATAGGTCATACTCATAGTCTCATAGTTTCACTTTTTGTTTCATTGCTCTCAGTAGGGACCTGAAGATTTCAAAACCAGACCTTCAAACCCATTAGTTATCTTTTTCTCCCTCAGTCTGTCAGTATTTTTCCAGGAGCAGAGTGTGATAATCTTTTGGAAAGTGGATCAGGAGTGCTGATGGGGGATGCTTTAATAGAAAATACAGTAATTATGCATGTCAGATAAGTACCTACTTTGTGATTTTTTTTTTTCTGCAGCCTAAAAATCTTTCTGAAAGCCCACTTTTGTTGTCTCTGGGACATAACACGGTGTCCTCCCAAGTAGTCTGAATGTTTGGACCTAGTCTGTTATAGAAAGTAGACCTTCCCTGCCCTTTCCACATCCCTAAGTATAGGATGAACTTTGGACTCCTACTCTAAACCAGGCCTCTCACTCGCCTGTAATTACTCATTATATACCCAGTGAAGTACACATAGAAATACTTAGTGTCTTGTTATAACCTCTTGTTAGCATATTCTTGGTGACAACATCTATTTTCTGTTTTGCAGTGTCATGGACTTTCTGTGGAAGGTTTTGTACTTCCTTCTTCAACCACTAAGGAGGTAAGATTCTGTGTCTCACATTTATGTGTCAGATAGCTTGTCTGGCTAAACTATTCAGTGATCACTTTTCAGAGTAACAGAGACATAATTTCATAAGAGAACATGAAATGCTTTTGAGGAAAGGAAATAATGTTTTAAAAAATAGAGATGAAAATATTAGAAAATAATAATATGCTACATTATATAAAGGCAGCTTCTTGTAATGGTTAAGTTAGGCTGGTTTATGTGAGTATTGCCAGTGTTGAAGAGGGTAAAAGAGATAGAAATCTAAGAATGACTACTCATGTTCCCCATCCTTTTCATTCCCACACTTTTCTCCTAAGATTCTTATAGACTTTAATCATAGACCAACTGTCCTTAACTCTATTTCAGAGTAACATGGGCATCATCTCCAACTTATTGGATTAGAGTCTCCAGGGATGAGGCTTGAGGATCTTTACTTTTCACTAATGCTATAGATGATTCTGATATGTAATCATACATGGAATATACTGAGATGAACCACAGACATAGATTATCAGATGCTTTTATACATTCATTCAGTCAATTATCATTATCTATGGTGGTTGTGTTCTCTGGTGGCTTAGGGCCTAAGGCATTTGACTGCTAACCAGAAGTCTGGTGGTTCAAACCCACCAGCCCAGCCACTCCTTGGAAGGAAGACTGAGCAATTTACTTCCTTAGAGATACTGCCTTGAAAACCCAAAGAGGTGTTGCTATGAGTCGGGACCAACTTGACGGCAGTGAGTTTTGAGTTATGTTCTATAAAGTCACTGCAAATACTGAAATAGTGAATACTGAACCTCTGCTCCTAGGGGAAATATTATAGTTCATTTCTACAAGCCTCTGGTCACAACACTTTCATCAACTGATCAATACATAATCTTGTTTTATGGGTGTTTCCATTTAACACTTATTTAATATGTATTGTTGATTTGTTAACATTGTTAACTCATACCTGAAAAAAAAATGCTTATTTAGCACAAGTATTTTGACCAAAAGGCACATCACAGCCTGCCTGCACTTAAGAACACCAGGTAGCACTTCAGCAGTATACTTGAGGGTCATTTCAAACAGCAAAATCACCAGCACAAAGCACAAAATGTGAAAAATGTGGCACTAAGTAAGCCATGGAAAGGACACTTACTTACAGTATGAGAGCTGAAACAAGAAGACAGGACACCACCTTGTTCAACCTCAGCTGGTGTTTGGGTGACACATTTTTTTTTGCCCCTCTGCACCTAGACATGAATGACTGCAAAAGCACTGATTTGGAGATTACAAATAAATTATACTGAGGGGGTGAATTTGCCAATATGTAATCCATGAATAATGAGAATTGGCTTTAGTTTGCTTTTTGCCCACACATAGAAATGATAAAGAAATAGCTTTTATTCAAAATCAACAAAGGAACTAGTAATAGCAAGCTAGGAGTAGTAATATTAGACAGTAGAAAATTCTTGAAAACACTGAAATTGTTGCAGAAAAAGGCAGAGGGGTATAGAAAGTTATTGGTGTGCTTCTGGACTTCACTGTTGCCTACTGGCCTTTTCTCTAATACAGAACATTGTTTCAACTATTAGTTTTTCTTTACCTTTAAGCAAGACTAAAATGTTAATAAACCAAAGTCGAACTCACTGCTATCAAGCCAATTCAAACCCCATTAAGTTTCTAAGCCTGTAAATCTTTACGGAAGCAGACTGCCCCATCTTTCTTCCATAGAGCAGCTGGTGGGTTCGAACCACTGACTTTTTGGTTAGCAGCCAAATGCCTTAACTACTACAACACCAGAGCTCCTTTGAAATGTTAATAGAATTAATGATGATATATACTTGATTGGCAGCTTTAAGAGTCTTCAAAGCATTTTCACACATTATTTAATTTCATCTTCAACAGAACTATATAAGATTGTAGTTCTCAATTTACAGGTAAGGAAACAAATGTAGAGAGATTAAGCATATTGCCCAAGGTCATAGAGCTTGTAAGTGACAAAGACAGGGTCTGAACCCAGGTCTTCAAACTCTGAACTTACATTGCCTCCCTAGAGCATGTATATAATACAGCTTTACCAAAAATTATTTCTCAATCCTATTAACCCCCAAATAACTTTTTATTTCTTTATGCCTATTTTAAATCTAACTGTATATAAATGTTTTACATAATTCTAATCAAGTATATACAAGTTGAAATTCTACTTACATTGTTCTTTTATCCAGTCGTTACATTTATTGTTTTAAATAGCTCCATCAAAATACATGAAGTTGCTCTATCATAGAACTATGTTTGTTACTTCTAGTTTTTCACTTGTGACTAATACTGCTATAAACACTCTTGCACATGGAGATTTTTTTTCCTCATTTGCATCATCTCATTAAGATGCATTTCCAGAAATAGGATTATGAGTTATAAAGCACTGAAATTTTTGTAACTCTAGTTATGCATTACCAGATTGCCATCTAAAAAGAATTAATCAGTTCATCCTCTGTGGTGCTTTGAAGGGGGCTGAAGCATTGCTTTTGGCTACAGTATTTGTATTGCCTTTCAGAATAGCTGAGCAATGCTTCCTAGATGATGGGCTTTTAGGAAATGATTTTCTTTTTCTTGATCACAGATGACTCCAGGAGAGATTAAGTTCTCTGTTCAGGTGGAGTCTGTCCTGAATCGTGTACCTCAGCCTGAATATCGTCAGCTTCTTGTTGAAGCCATTCTTGTCCTCACAATGCTGGCAGATATTGAAATTCATAGCATTGGAAGCATCATTGCTGTGGAAAAAATAGTGCATATTGCTAATGACTTGTTCCTTCAAGAACAGGTATGTAAAGTTGTTGTTTTCTAAAAGGAGAATATTTGGCATTCAAAGCTCTTTCATGAAGCCAAGGACAATTTATTTTTCTCTCTTCCTTATGGATTTTTTCTGGCCCCTTTTTGTAGTGAACCTGAGCTCTATTTACAAATGAGATAGAGTACAAAAGGGCCTCTGTCTTTCATCATGTTTTTTGTGGTTGTGTTGGATGGTAAAAGTGCCTGGCGTTTAGGAGGTTTTTATGCTTTTCATCATATTTCAAATCTCTTATCACTACTTTGTGTAGCTCTAAGTACTTAATAATAGACTACTGGGTAGCATATCCTTTCTGGACTATTAAGGACAAAAAAGATTTGTTTTCAGTTTTAGTTTTATTTTGCTTTTTCTACTTAGTTATAGGAAAATATTAAAATGAAACTTTAATTCTTTATTCTTCTCATTTTCTTAATAAGTCTTTCTCCAGGAAATTAACTACATTTTAAAAAGCTAGTTTAAAAAATAAATAAATAAAAGAACTAGTTTTTGAAAACTTTCCAAATGTTTCCTGGATTTAAGTAGGAGCACATAAGGAGAAGAGATGTGCACTATTGTCAACAGGAAAATACCCAAAACCTGTAATAGGTATTTTATTTTATTAGGCACTGTGAAGGGATGCAAAATAAGCTAAAAGTATCTGCAATTTTCTAGGACAGTCTTAGTTTTAATTATTCTAGATTACTATCAGTCCATGTATAAGAAAATGTGATCGCTTTTGGCATAGCCTTGGGAAGTTTATGATCTATTTGAATTAAGTTGACGTAGAAACAAATAATGATCAAATTCAAGATAAAATTATTCATGTTGAAATCAGCAGTACTAGAAGGATTCATACCAAAGTCACTAGGGTGATGTTTTGGTGTTAACATTTGACTCTTCAAAATTAATTTTTATGGAGAAAAGCCCTTAACAATTATTATATTTAAATAATTTGCATATGATTTTGGGATTTAGTGAAAAATACATTTATGGAAACTCATGTTCATTTGGGTATAACTCTTATTCCTCCCTGGCTAAACAGCCTAGTTGGTAAACCACCTAGTTTGTAGTGGGGAAGAGGCTCTGTGTTATCTAATCATGACATTAATTAATAGCATTAGTAATTTTTCATTCCTCCTATGTTCTCCCATCGTTAAAAACAGAAAACCCTCGGTGCGGATGATACCATGTTGGCAAAGGATCCTGCGTCTGGCATCTGCACTCTTCTGTATGACAGTGCACCCAGTGGCAGGTTTGGCACTATGACCTACCTCTCCAAAGCAGCTGCCACCTACGTCCAAGAGTTCCTGCCCCATAGCATCTGTGCAATGCAGTGAGAGCTTGGGTTATGGCTGCTGGGAGACTTTTGACAGTTGGTTGGTCTCTGCCTCAGTTGGTTATGCATGGAACTGAAATGTTATTGCCTGATTACTTCCACCCTACCCCTTTCTATCCTCTCCCTCCCAAGAAGACAAAGCTATTCCTATAAACTAATGCCTTTAGAAGAAATGAACCTTTATCTGGAGGTTCACTTCTAGTGTGTATATGGTCAACCAGACATTTCACTGTTGGCCTAATTCTTTCATGGTTCATAGAAGTTTGTGCGTGATTTTACTCTATAAATCTGTTACCAACTTAGTTTTCTAATTCTTATTTGGGGAGCGATATTAACAATAACTGATTCCTAAATTTTGATTTTTCTTATCTGTGGTTTTATTGTGTGTATGAGGGTAGTTGCATTGGGACATTACTTCAAGTGAATAAACTCTAATATATTGGATTTTTTGCCACTATAAATTGGAAATATCTATTCTCAGTGCCTTTTCTTGGGAAACAAGAGTATTGGATCATGATTTCCTTATTTATTCACAGATTGCCTCACACTAAGTAATGAAATCATTTCTGTATAGAATTATTGTCTCTGCATTTGCCTTCTTTGTACCTACACACAATTCTTACTTTCACTTTCATCAAATATTGAAAAAAAAAATGCAAGTGCAGTGTGTTTATTTAAGCATTTCTGCATTAAGGCTTAAATTCACATTTTATGAAGATTGCTGATTTGCAGCAGAAAATACAAAATGACCCAGAGAAATGGAGCCAGAAACCTGCTTCCAGAAAGGAAGAGGAAGGAAGAAAGGATACCTGAGTAACATCTTACACATTAGGAGCAGAAAAAGAATCAGGTAGGTTAATTCCCTGAAGAAAGTCTTGTGTACCTAATCCTTGCCTCTGAAGGGTGGCCAACACAGAAAACACAGAGAGTAATTGAAGCTTCTGGTTCTGACAAAGAGAAATCCATCAGTCTAGTTTATAGCTGCTTTACTGAGCACTCTTTTCTTGTGTTCCCCTGGTCTCTATCTCACTCACCTACTTACATTCTACAGCATCCAACCCCTCCAACTCCTTACCTCCCTCATCTATTCACAAACTCTTTTATTTATATTTTCCTTTCTCAATTCTAGTGTTTATATTTCTATATATATTGGTATCTGTAGGCATGTATCTGTTTCTTGTAAATACCTGCATTTGTGTGTGTTGTTGTTGTTATGTGCCGTCGAGTCAGACCCAACTTATAGCGACCCCTCCTTGGGTTTCTGAGGCAGTATCACTATGGAAGTTGATTGCCCCATCTTCCTTCTGAGGAGTGGCTGGTGG